ATAAAGCCAGCCAGCAAACTATGCCCCATGTGTGATAAATAAAGGTGCGAATATGCTACTCTGTGGACATGCTAGTATACGAAAACGATATATAAGCTACGTTCGTTATCCACTCTGCCCTCTTAATTTTCCCCAAAATATCAGAGAAATCCAACATATTTAGAATTTAGATTCAACGGTGACAACCCCACAAGAAAATAGGACAATCAAATTTATTTCCAGAAACAAGAAATTAACTCTTAATTTCCCTGATTAGTTCCCACTGACCAATAAATATTCTCGCAGCTGAGTAGTCTCGTTTTTTATCAGTTTGGGTGAAACTCTGTCACTATCTCATTTGAAACTTAAATGATTAGAAAGATCATATTTTTTATTTACTTAATTATTATATTTTTAACACGGTGTATTTGTCTGATTCTTTTTTATTTGTTAAGCACAAGAAAAAAAATTTCAATAATTAAATAGCGATGAGACTCAAACTCAAAACGTCAACCAGGTGACGGGAAGTTATATCAACTCGTATCAATTTTGCAGTAATACCATCCTAAATTTTGTTTCTCTGTGCATTACCAAACAAAAATTTACTAGCTAGGAAACAAATTAAATTATCAATTCTAACTATAACGAAGAAAAATAAACAGAAGAAAGATTGATGTAACAAGCCTGTAATGAATCATTAATTGTCAACAGGATTTGAAACTTCAAAATGGTAGATAAGAAATTAAGGCTGCAGCTAGTCGTCGAAGTAATGTTGACTAGGGGGGCCATGGACTTAGCTAGCTGTTAATGGATTATTGCTAGTAGTAGCTGTGTCGTTGTGCTGTATTAATCCCAAATTTAGAAGAATCAATATCGGCGTCCATTTGTTTTGTTTTCTTCTCTCGACCATTTAATTCACATGGCGTGGCCGAGCTACAACATTAGCTATGAATCGGACGTTTTTTTACTCAATTAGAACTCATATTTGTATTAATAAATTCTTTAAAAATATATAAATATTTAATTACAAATCAAGTGACTTAATCAAACTATAAATTTGATGACAATTCAGAACCAATAAATTTTAAATTCTGATTTTGTGGTCACTATTAACATGGCAAGTTGCGTGTCCAATGATCCTTCTAGGTTGGCTTTGTATTATTCAGAATTCCAGACAGTTGTTGTCCGCTATTTCCGTTTAATATTCTAACAAACTGATTATGTCTCAACCAACATTATTGATTTATGTACCTAATAAAGTACATAATTTACTAATCTAAATGAATTCAAAATATAAGCCAGAGCACATCAAATGTCATTGTACTTAGTTACTAAATAACTGGGTTGAAATGACTAAAGCTTTATTTTCTTTTAATATATATTCAACTACTAGAAATATTTGCATTTTAATTTGTCATTTTTGCAGTTAAATCAATTAGTAGCTTATACCCAGCCCTGTTTGCCCAAGAAAAGAAGGCAATATCCCATATGTTGGTTTAGCTTTTTCATACTCCCTCCGTACTTTTACATATTCATTATATTAAAAATATATTTTTCCTTTCATCTGTCCATTTTTACAATTCAAGAAGAACATAATTTTTTTTCTTTGTTTGACCCTTATTATTAACTACTCATTTCCAAAATTATTTTTCAATATTTTTTGAAATGCTATCATTATTATGGATAAAATTATAAAATATATACTTTATTTATTTTTTCTTAAAAGGAGTGCAAAATTTAAAGCGAAAAACTAAAAATGAAGGAGGGAGTATTTTTTTTTCTCCATTAGGTTAAACACATGGACAACTTCTTTTATTTTTCTTTGGCAGAATAGCTTAACAGACGCCTCTACTTGTCCCGTTTTGAGATCCCAGCCCCCATACCCTACGAAGTTTCATTCAGACACCTCAACTCGTGCAAAGCAACTCTTTTAAACCTCTTTGACCTCGCGTGCTCTTCAAACACGCGATATGGATGACACGTCAATGTCCAGCTCAAATTCTCTATGCCATATCATCATTTTTCACTATTCAATTTCACTCAATATTTGCTCTGCTATCTACTCGTCCCTTCTCCCACCCCAAATGGACCCTTTTCCTCCATTAACCCAGCTCCAAATACACCCAACAACCATTTTTCGAAAGCTCACAAATAAATAAAAATCATTCCAAAAATCCTTGCTAATTGCGCCCCTCATCCAAAAAAAAAACTCTTGGGAACCATGCAATTCCTATTCTTCAGTAGATACATTGATCATATTGATGATGATTTCAAGATATTGCTTCAACAAGAAGACACAGATACTTTTGAGCATTTTAACGATAAAAAATTATTTAAACAAGATAAAACTCATATTTATTTGGGTCTCCACCTTCTCATATCTCAATTAAATCTCACCCACTGCCCTAGATCGTTGTTCAATTAGTTGTTGTTTACTAATTTACCTTTAGATTATGTTTTCTTCCAAGAATCGGAGGTGGAACACAACTCTTCTAAGTATCAAAGAGTTTGAAATAGAAGTAGGAAATCTTCTTGTTAATGCTCCGTCTAACAGTTACTATTGCCTGTATCTTGAGACTGAAGAGTATAGGAAGATGCGAGGGTGGGGCAGAAGAGTATGGGAGTGAAGAAGAGTACAGACGAGGGAATTCACGATAGTGGGGGAAGAGTACGGGGAAGGGAATGGGAAAGTTAGCTTAGCAATTATTTTTAAGTTTCTTTTCTTTTTATCTTTATTTTAATCTTTTTAAAATCAAATTCATTGTTTCCATTCGCTTTATATGCGTGCATCTCACACATTTCGTCCAACTCAGCCGGCTTAGCACCTCATAAGCTTGGTCAATAGTCAGAGGGATTTAAAAAAGTTATTTTGAACGAGTTGAGGTGTCTGAATAAAACTTCGTAAGGTATGAGGGTCGGAATCTCAAAACGGGACAAGTAGTGGTGTCTATTAGACTATTCTACCTTTTTCTTTTTCATTTTTTGGGGGGTGAGGGTGGGTGGGGAGAGAAAATACAACATAATAATACAGGAATATTATTTCGCCATATTTGATGTAAGTCTCGCTGGAAAGATTTCTTATTTTTGGATTCTATTATTTACAATGGCAAACGTTGATGCTTCTTTTCTCCTTTTCCTCTTTTTCTTTTCTCCTTATTCGATGCGTCATCCTTTACTGTTGTAACGCTTTATAGCACCAAGTAGGGAAATGATATTTTTTGGAGGTTGATTTGTAGAGTAGTTGTATGTATGACGGCACACTTGTTAGTGGTGGAGTGATACGTACTTGTTCATTATTAATCAAACGTTTTGAGAAGTATAAAGTCACCTTTGTCCGAAAACGCTTTACTTCTTAATGTGAGATTTTCCAGCACGAATCTGAATTTAATCGAACTTCAATGCAAGTAATAGACAACGAATGAAATAAAAAAGGTGATGCGCATGGATCACGTTTAATATATATAGCCTGGATTCTCCATCAATATTATTGTCTTTGCTCCATCATTATTTTTTGGGGGTCATTTTCTGAATTTCCAATAAGCCTGATTCAACACTTACGAATAATTAGTGTACATAAGGAAGAAAAATAGAGATGGAATATAAGTAGGATTATGATTTATGCTCTATCAAGCATAAAGTTGTTGGTGTTTTAAATCCAAACAGAAAGGTTTTATGAGTGATCGATGGAAAACATTATACGTCCACCAAATTTTATGAGATTTGTTGAAATTGGATTAATGAATACCAAATCAAATTAAGAATGAGGTTTGATTTAAGGATACAATGGCATCATCTTAATCAATGGCCCGCATGGGGTTGGAGGAGTAATTTTTCACATGGAGACCAGAGACGGACTTACATGGTCACTAAAGGGGTCACCGGAACCGTTAGCTTCGACAAAAACTGTATATGTATATTTGTATATACATCAAGGACCCCCTAAATAATTTTGATGTACCCCTAAAACACAAAAGTTAGATTGCTGGGGTGGTTTGACATGCAGCATTTGTTCCTCCCTCTCTAGACGATTAGCGTTCAAGACGCAGCTCCGCAGCAATGCTGCTCATTTTCATTTTATTTTTTTCCTCTTTGAATTCAGGGTAGTTTAGTATTCTGTATTTAGTGCTCGATTTGGTTCTCTCTTTTTTATCTTTTCTGAGTTCAAAATTTTTTTTGCACTAGTACATATACTAAACTTAGTTTAGCTTTCCCCCCTTCAAATCTCTCTCTTAAAAAGCCTCAAACCAAGTTTCTCTCCACGATTAGTTCTTTAGTGCTTCTACATAAAATAGTCAAAAACATTTTTGAGAAATGTCTTTCTAGACGTTGAAAAAGATAATAGAGAGACATAAAAAGATTAAAGGAAATTGGGAGGGGAATAAAATATTCCATTAGCAAGAAGCCAGTTATATTCTTTTTCCTATAACTAAGCTTATAAGCATCATCATTTTCTTGACTTGTATTAAAATAAGTAATTTAACAAAAATATTCCCCCAAAAAGAGTAATAGAAAAACTCCAAAATACTTTTGCCTTCAAAAATTACTTCGGCAAATTCAAAAATTACTTCGGCAAAGTAGCATACCTTTGTCGATTTAGCGATAACGATTGAGACTCTGCTTGAACTGCTTAATGAATATTTAATCTTAATTTTATTTGAGTACATTTTTTTATATTTTAAAAGATCTTTTTAATCACCGACTCATAATCATTAAATTTTCAAGGAGTTAACACGATAGCTTTATATATATATATAGCACGGTGCCCCCGCTGTGCTCAAATCCTGGGTCCGCCTCTGATGGAAACCCGAGATGGATTCTCCTCACCAGCAGCCTCATCAGAGCTCATCGCACCCGGCTTGACTAGAGCGGTTTATATCTCATGTGTGATTTGTGCGTTATTGCACAGTAAGCAGATTATCCCGTGCGCACCCGAAGGATAGCGACTGCGGGTTTTTCTGAACATTTCGAAAAAGAAAAAGAAAAATTTTTAATCAATGCAATTTGACTTTAAAAAATGATAATTGAGGCAGACTTCCAATATTCTTAATGTACCATCCAAGTAACAAAACACAGCTACGCTTTATAATATATACTAGTAAGGTGTTGCCGCCCCAACATGAAATTTAGATTAACATCTAGGCTCCGGCAGTAAAAATGCATCTTGCTTCAATTATTCTCAAACCTAATGCATATAAGACCATACATACATTTCACATGACCAAAGCAAGATAATTATTTTTTAAAATAATATATATATACATGGTTTATGGATAATAGCTCCATAACTATTACCATGGCCAATTTCAGACTTTTAACTGGTGTAACTGCTAGATTTCTCTGCATTCACTGGATATGTCGGGTATCACCTGTCGGGTATGTTGATGTGGTATGCTGCAGAGGCCCGTTTGGTGGATGATAGATTGACTCAATCCCTTGGCATTATTTCCGATACTGCAAATTTTTGCCTCTTGAGGCTTCTTAGAAGCTGATTGATCATAAGCATGCTAGTGTGGCATGCCAGTACCTGTAGTCTCGGGCGAAGATTCTAATATTTCCAGGATAAAATTTGTCGCAGCTGGTTGGTGGAGCATATATCCAGCAGCATCACCCTTTTGATTTAGCTAATTCACGGTATTAAGTATTTCCTGAGTTTTAGCAAATGCATCCAATGGATGGCCATCCTTCTCCTTAAAATAGGATAAATCAAATGGGGCTACGGATTTAGCAACATGCATCCCTGAGGTAAGAACATTCATCCCGAGCTTCATAGCAAATTAAAACACTCCTCTTTTTCTAAAGAGAACATGAAAAACAGCAAGATGCATCTAAAAAGAACAACGATACCTTTTCTTTGAAGTCTTCTGGAAATTGATCATTAGCATCCCACAGTGTGTCAATTTTATCACGGTTAAGTATCTGAATATTTTGACCTAATAAAAGATGTGTTAAACATGGTTCGAAACATCATCTCTTCCCGGTCATCGTGCAAGATAATACATTCCAACACGACATCACCTTTTATACGGCAAATGATATGAATCTTTACCAGTTCGTTTTCTAACTGGAAAAATATGATCTGGACTCCAAATTAGAGGTTGTATACCATAAGAATTGGAGCAGTGTATGAGAGAAAGTCCGTATGGATTCTGTAAAGCATATCACTTATCAAAAGACCAAATACAACTAATTTTACCTAAACAAAAATATAAAAGGAGTTTTCTATAAAACTAAGATGTCAGAAATAATTCTATTCACTCTAAATCAAATATATATATCTTTATCCCAATGAAATAACACTCATAACATATTACCAGGATAAGTTATAACCAACATCACCGAAGGAAAAATATGAAAGCAATTATTGGTCAAATGAAGATGTCAGAAGCTTCAATAAATCAAATTGTTAGTCAATCATCAATCCATTATAAATCATATATAGCACCCCTAGTCATCCTAGTAGAGACAATACATCCCTTTTCCTCACTTTATATGCATTTACAAAAGAGTTTGACAACCCATCATCAAATTAAACAATGACTTTTTTCTTCAGGTGAAGCTTGTGAAAACGTTTTCTTTTTTGTTGGTTAGTTAGTGTGAAGTTTTTGGATAATATTACCCTATTTATATATGAATCCAGGAAAAAGTATGTATCATCCAACGAACTTTCAAACGTTACCTTCTTTCCCAAAGATAAGGAAAAAACATTTAGAGGAAAAAGATACATTATCTGCTTGTAGTGACGGATAACATACTTTTCTTTGGTGTAGAGAATAAAAATTTCAGAGATCGATCAGCAACTGTTAATGGATACTGTCCATAAATACGAAATATGGGTAGTCGAATCTTCTTCTCCCTAGTTCTTATCGAATCTTCTTCTCCCCAGTTCTTGTGAAAATAGCTGATGGTAGAAAGTTACAGCTACTTCTGCAATTTCCCTTCATCTTCTGATCAACTATATTGCTCGCTCTTGATATTATGAATGTTTGGTTTCCTGCTCCCATCCCGTATGACATTTTAAACAAAAGCTAAGCTAGAGTTTCCATCTTCTAACCATTTCACTCTTCCCTTCTGTTTTAAGATAGAACCCTCAGCCTTTAAGCTAAATATATTCTGCAATAGATTTATTTAACTGGTTTCTGTTTTCTGAACTGTTAACCTTTATATATGTCTCCTCAAGCTGCTGTATTTTACAGTCAGTAATCCAGTAATATGTTTAACCAATCAATACATGTGACAAACAAAGTCTAACTTCCTAACCAAAAATATTTGCTATAAGTATAATATGTGCTTAGAAATGTGTGTTTAAGAGAACCGTCGTACCTGACTACTATTTTCCTAGTTATTTGATTTGAATATATACCTAGACCTTCCACGTAAGAGGTTACCCTACCACCTACTATTCATTTGAATAAAACTGCACAAATTGTGGAATAATTATTATGAACTACATAAACCCAAAAGTAGAGACTCAAGGAACACATCCTGTCTAAAATACTCTCTGGTGCTTAATTATCCCCATTTCCCAGTGGCATAGCGTATATGTATAACCTGAATACAATAACAACAGGCAGATATAAGCCTGACAGTATAGTAATTTGATTATACTGACAGAAAATAACACAGAGAATGCAAGCAAAGAATTCTTTGCTTGAGCAGTTGCAGCAAAAGAATGCTGCGGGGAAAAAGAATGCTATACCAATATGGTATAACGAAAGCAGCAAAAGTTTAGTGCAAGGAAAAGGAAAAGAATGTTTCAATTCCTTTTATCTGATTTCAATCGTGTGGAATCCAACTGATATCTGAATCAAAAATAATAACGACATAGATAACAAAGCTACGAAATTGGTCGTTTACCCGCCTGATAAACCGAAATAAGCTTTTATCTGGGAGTAGTCCAAGAAACACTTTCTCCTCTAGATTTTTGGATTGCCCACGTCATAAAAGTACAGGAAGAGATAAATCCTGGATAAATATAAGAAAATATCTAGTCATTGATAAGTAAAGAAAGGCCTCCTAGGAATTGTCCTGTATTTCTATTTGATATTTTTCCGCCTTAGATTTGAGTCCATAAGAACTATTCCCCCTCCTCCCCCCAATCCATAAATAAGAATGATGAAGTGTGGTATACATTCTAACATTGAAAATAATCTCAAGCATTCTTATCCTAGGTAATGATATGGACACACCGGGTATAGTTAATTAAGATTACGGCGTTAATTTGTCAAATAAATGTGCTCGAGTTAAGCGTTCACTTCAATATTTTGGCATCATTTTGGTGTATAACTAATGAAATAATATAGAAAATCGGTATTGAAGTGAGTGCTCAGTACTCTCCTTCGAGGCATACATTATTATCAACACTGTCATGACATGAACCTTAGACAAAAAGATATAGCCCAGCCTTCATATACTATTTTTAAGAAGTGAAAAAAAGGACCAACCCATAATTATTGGTCATTGACCATTTCGTAAAGACATATAAATGATGTGTGTGGTCATATTGACGCATACCTCATGCTATCTTCTCAGTCATTTGAATAACAATCAAACTTTGCTTTGTTATCAGTGAGCAGATCCTATAAAACAAATCAAGACGCATCCAACCCCGGAAAAAATCACCGCTTCGTCAATTTTGACATCAAGATAGTAATTCAAGGTTGTTCCTGTCATAATCAAAAGAAGAGTTCCAAATTAAACAAACTATGGTACTACGAATTACCTTTCACAGAGGACAACATTCATGAGTTGGCTATTTCAAAAAAGTTTATAAACCATTGAAGTTGAGTCTACTAACATCATAAAGATCAATCAAAACAAAGTACAACACAGTCTAATTTCTATCCATTCTGAAAGAGACTTTACATTAGCATGCAATGGAGGCAAGTAAATGCCTAAAACTTGAGCTCCGGCAAAATACAAACACTCAGCCAACGTAGTATGCATGTTTAAGAAAAAGGAAATCAAGAATCTTCTCTTGACTATATTTCCTGCTTTACAACTTAACTAAATATTGACTAATAACTATAGTATACAGCACAGATATTGAGCAATATATTGCGAGAAGCTCAAGGTTCTGCAGGGAAAAAGCATTAAGCAAGCAGAACTCAGTATTGAGCACGAATTGAGTAAAATCCTGAGCTTTAACGGACTTTAAAGGAGAACAATAATTCATCTATAATTTTAAAATTCAAATAAAGTTTACCTATTTATGGTCTAATTTTATGCAAAGGAAAAAAGGAAATATTATATAGCACAATATCGGATTACACTTTCCTTTTCTCTTTTCGATACCATGGAATCAAAGGCCAGGATCACAAAACTCCCTCGACCTCAAAAAGGTTTACAACAAAAATTTTAAGATCGAAGTTTCTCAAATTTAGTGTCTAAATTCAAAGCTTTTCCCCAATCAAACTATTACGGTTTATCCGAAACAAATTTATCATCGGTCATAAAAAGAAAAAAAAAATATGTATTTCGTGAAACCAGCATACAGTGTAACCCTGAGTTAACAAATGCTTTGTTCCTCAGAGAAAGCAGCGGCAAAAACTAATCAAAATACCCAAAAAAGGACCTCTTTAAACCGGCAAACGTTGCAACCCTCGATTAGTTTTTTTACTTGAAATTTCACAAATCCAACTCTTTGAATTTTGCTTAAAAAAAAAAGTAAAAGGAGAAAGCAAAATCTGAATCGGCGATCCCCAACGCGGGTAACTATGAATTACCATGACATCCATTTCTGAATAGCAGAAATTATGCTTCACTCGATTGGCCACTTCTCATATAGTAGATAGGTGCACTTTTTATGGCTCGTTGGAGAATTATGTCAAACACATATAGATGGATAGAATACATAAGAAGATGAGCAAGAAATTAGATTGAAAGACAAATGGTAAACGTTTAGTAAAAACTTTGACTGATTCAACAATTTCCTCAGTAAGAGCAAACACAACTCGACAATTAAACTTCCTGTGTAGCAAAGGCCTAGCATCCCATGATGGCAGAGAGAAACACAAGATAAGAAGAAGCAAGCTCACACGAAAACAACAATCCAAACGATAAATTGACCAAAGGGTAAAGCTAACAACAAGAAGAGCAAGGGGAGACAGGGTTGCAGTCGCAGAGGAGTTTGAAGATTGTGAAACTTTTCATATGTTGCTAGATTGGCAAAAAAAGCATTAAAATAGGACGTGTCTCTGTGCTCACCTCTTAACCATATTCTTCTAGGAAAAATCAATTTACTTCCAAGAGTATAGAATTGAATTTTTAATAGCAAAAATCCAGTATATCAGAAAACAAAAAATTAAACAGAAAGACGGAGGAAAAGGCAAGGTGAATCGAATACCACACGGAATAATCTAAGAATATGTCACCACCCAACTGAAAACTGATACATTCAAGAATTTATTCAAACACATAAAGAACAAAGTCTTAGCGTGAAGTAAAAGATGAAACAGAGAAATACAAGATGAGAAGAAGATAACTCACAGGAAAACAAAGATCCGGACTGGAAAATTCACCAAAAGTGTAGAGATAAGAACAGGAAAAGTGAGGAGAGAGAAGGTGAAAACGGAAATTTGCAGACGGTGGAGCTTTTCTGATATAACTCGGGTGTTAACCTTTTGATCAGTGAACCTCCATCTGCCAGATTTCTGAAAGACCTGTCTGCCTGGTACCGATAAGAACAAGAAGAGTGAGATGAGAGAAGCCAAAGAAGAGTCGATATAATCCAAGTGAAGCCAAAATAAAGTTAAATGGAAAGACAATATTGCCCTCGAGGTGCCGAGCAACCATGTCGTCCAGGTGTGAGCTAAGTAAGTCCCTCTTATAAGATAGTAGAATGTACGCATGCATGAATGATTTTTACGAGAATGACTCATTTTATGTTTTATTGAAATTTACTCTACTTTATGTTGTCGTTGTCAAATGATGCTATACAAATCAAGTGCCAAACAATTAAAAACTCATTTATGTTATAAAATAAAGACTATAAAAGAAATAAACTGAAGAAAAGTATAGAGGAAAATTGATATTTTATTCAACTTCAAATTCATGTACATAATGAATTGAAAACTCCTCCATTTATAGAAGAAAGGAAGCAGCTGCGAGGTTTTTCAGAAAGCAGCTGCAAGGCTTTTATTTAGCTGCTTGTAAGTTGTCTGCATGAGCTGCTTGCAACCTGCTTGTTTAATAAGAAGCTGCTACAAATCATTTCATTGAGTTGCTTGCAACCTACATCAGTTGCTTGTAGATAAACTTCAACAGAGTACTAAATGGATAATCTTCTTCAGGAAGATTATCTATATCGGAGTAATAAATGAACATCCACAATATAACTATTTTCATAACACTCCCCCTTGGATGTTCATTAAAAGATAATATGCCTCATTAAAACCTTACTAGGAAAAAACCCTGTGGGAAAAAATCCTAGTGAAGGAAAAAGAGTACACATATTTAGTAATACGGATTGATAGCTGCCTCATTAAAAACCTTATAAGGAAAACTCTGTGGGAAAAAACCTTAGTAAGGAAAAAAGAGTACATCGCGTATTTTACTTCCCCTGATGAAAACCTTGTTTCAAATATTTAAGTTTCTGCATTCCAATCTTGTATACCATCTGCTCGAAAATTGAAGTTGGTAAAGATTTAGTGAATAAATCTGCTGGATTGTCACTTGAACGGATTTGTTGCACATCAATATCACCATTTTTCGGAAGATCGTGTGTATAGAATAATTTTGGTGAAATATGCTTCGTTCTATCTCCTTTTATAAATCCTCCCTTCAATTGGGCTATGCATATAGCATTGTCTTCGTATAAAATTGTGGGTCTTTTATCACATTCCAACCCATATTTTTCTCGAATAAAATGAATCATTGATCTCAACCATATGCATTCCCTACTTGCTCCATGAATAACTATTATCTCAGCATGATTTGAAGAAGTAGCAGCAATAGATTGCTTTGTGAAGTGCCATGATATGACAATACCTCCACATGTAAACACATACCCGATTTGAGATCGAACTTTATGGAGATCGGATAAATAACCTGCATCTGCATAACCAACAAGATCTGCACTACCTTTGTTGGTATAAAACAAACTCATATCAAGAGTTCCCTTTAAATATCGCAATATATGCTTAATCCCATTCCAATGTCTCCGTGTAGGAGAAGAGCTATATCTTACTAGTAAATTAACAGAAAATGCTATGTCAGACCTTGTAGCATTAACAAGATACATAAGTGCATCAATTGCACTGAGATAGAGTATTTCAGGACCAAGGAGTTCCTCATCCTCTTCTGGAGGTCAACGGATCCTTATTCACTTCAAGTGATCGAACATCCAATTGGTGTACTTAATGGGTGTGCTTTGTCCATGTAAAAGCGTTTTTAAGACCTTTTCTGTATAGACAGATTGATGGATAAAGATCTCGTCTGCTAAATATTCAATTTGCAGACTAAGACAAAGTTTTTCCCTTTGGAGCTCTTCTGGAGTTCCTATGATATTTATGCCGTTAACATAAACAACAAGTATAACAAGCTATGATGTTGTGTTCTTTGTAAAAATGCATGGACAAATGCATTCATTTACATAACCTCCATTCATCAATTCAATGAGGCGATTATATCACATGCGCCCAGATTAATTTAAACCGTACAAAGATCTTTGTACTCTGATTGAATGCATTTCACGATGCTTTGAACTATATGCTTCAGGCATTTTAAATCCTTCAGGGATCTTCATATAGACTTAATCAAATGAGTCATATAGGTTATGCCTTGCATTTAGATGGCATGACATCTTCAGGTGTCTGGACTACAGGTCCGATCCTCACAATCTTTTACAATATTGTGCACTATATTGTATCAAATATATCGTCGACGATCATTTTATATCGGTTCGCAAGTGACATAACTTGTTGAGATCTCATTACTTTCTTTATTTTCAGGTACCTGAACTTCTTCCGGAGTTTTATGAAATGTTATGTCGTGGACTCTTCCAGAGCTTATTTCCTCCTTATTATGATCATTTTGATCATTTGCTCCTATTCTTTTCAAGGATTGTTACCTTTGGAACCGATTGGTCTACCACGCTTCATGCGTTCAGTAAACTCTATCCTTCAGGGACTTAATTTTAATAGGAGAATTTGCAGCTGAAATATGATATTTAATTTTGGATCAACAAATGCTTCTGGCATTTGACTTGAATTATCTTATAAGCGAGGATCATATTAATGATAATTCAAATCATATAGCACATTTTTTAGTTGTTTTATTCCATCCCCCAAATGTTAGAAAAACTAACTCATATCCTTAATCTTATTTGAAAAACCTATCTTTGTGCATTGTGGTAGAAAAATTAATCATATACCACACATCAAAAGTTATTAGATAGTAAAAATATTTGGTTTCTGATCCTAAACCAATTATGAGGGGAGGACTTATCATATTTTGTTGGTCTGATGCATACAAGTGCTACTGTATGCAATTTAAAAAATCTTAGACCAACACATGAGGCTTTGTTCTCATAAGCAATAGTTTAGCCATTAATAGGAGGTATTCAATGCTAAACTAGCTTGGATATAAACCAGCATCATCAAGATGAACTATCTTGATTTCATAATCTGAAAATTATGTTCTTAATTGAGAAAGATAATTTCAAATGCCAAACTACAGGTTGACAATAAACATACATGTAACCATCTTATATATGCATCTATAAGTGGTTCACATGATAGGTGAATGTGCCCCTATTCACCTTTTATATATTTTAGAATTCGGGGATTTTAGTCCCAACTTTAGCTGGTATAATCAAGTTATTGTGAGAACAAGCAACACAAGAGAATTCTTGAAGAATCTTCTAGTTCTTCAGTATATGCTTATCTGAATTCTCAAATAGCTCATTTAAAGATGGCAAATGAAAACTTCAAGTTTATCATAGCATGTGCTATCTCTAAGTAAACTTCTGGTTTACTATGGCATAATCTTTTGCATCAGTAAACTTCTGATTTACTGTGGCTACTTTTGTATCTGTAAATTTCTGATTTACTGTAGCCACTTTTGCCTCAGTAAAACTTCTGATTTACTGTGACTGCTTTTGCATTAGTAAACTTCTGGTTTACTGTGATACATGATATAGTACAACTTGAAGAATAAGGCGGGTAACTTCTCACATACATATTATTTTACCCCATATGATTGTGGAAACATGGAGATTTTCAGTCTTCCAATCATTTGTGGTCTCAATATAATAGCCATTTGTATCAGTAAACTTCGGGTTTACTATAACATATGTTTTGACCATAATCATATAATATGAATGACATATTTGTATATAAGCTCTTCGAGAGCCTTTCTTTATTATCCACAATCTAATATTTACCAGACACTACTGGTGTCATGTGTCTTCTAGACAACAATTAGCTCTTCAGGAGTTGTTGATACATTTTGTACTATCAAATATTGCTCAGACACTTTTGGTATCATGAGAGAAAATCATAATCAAATGAACAATATAAAACTAATTCTAAATTTGTAAATGACGAAAATTAAGAATTATAATATTTCTACCACTAACTTTGTGATAAATATATCTCCTTTAAGGAGAAATATCATTAACATCTGAATATTTTGTATCAATACGGCAATCACATAGTCATTGCATCTTTTAAGAAAAGATACACGAGTTGTTATTTCCTTCGGGGAACTCAATAACTAACCATAATATATTAATGTGGTTGTAGTAGAAAATATTTTACAAGAATGCTTTTGCCTTAGAATGATACTTAATAAAATTATCCAAAATATTTTACGTACAACAGATACGTGCGACAACGATCTTTATGCCACAAAAATAATATTTATATCATTTGTTATTCTAGCTCTTCCGGAGGTGAGTTGTGGTATTTCTTCATTCACTACAGGGAATGAAAATGTGCTTCAAAAATAATTTTGAATAGCTCATTATTTTATTTACGCACAGAAAGACACAATTTCATAATATTTTCCTGCTTCGGGAGAAAATTTCAATTGTGTTACTTCTTTAGGAGCAAATTAAAATATGAAAAATTGAGTATATATTCTCTCAATCATATTACCTCTTCTGGAGGTGAATTATAATATATTTACATCAAGAGCACGTTCATATTTACGACTTTATTAATATTATCACATTCACTTCAGGGAATGGATTAATATTTATCAAAAATTCTCATCCTTCAGGAAATCGAATATAATTATCTGAACGCGCATTAATCACATCAATTGTGATGCTTCAACCTCTTTTAAAATATTTACTACTTCAGGAGCAAATCGAGGCGTGCATGAAATATAGAGAATATTTCTCTAGCTTATCTTTAATTGTAACCACAGAAAGCCTAAATTATCACTTCTGGTGGTTAACAAAATTTAGTTACAATGAGATATACGAAACATAACCACTTCTGGTGGTTGTATATTTCTTGCAAACTCTGCTGAAGTTTAAGTGGATCTAACAATGATATCCACTTTGTAATCCATTATTAAGATAATTAGGATGACAATAAGCACAAAATAACTATTGTATACATGTACGTAGACCGCAATCATTTGCCATATAAAAACTGGTGTGTCTCGCTACCATATAACAACTTAAGTAAAATCAATTATTTTTTTCAATTTCACGAGATCACATCCAAGTAAAACGGCATCGGCATCATTAGTTGGCTAGAAAGATAGTAATTAACATATATGATAAACATATATTTATTCAAGCTCAAAAGACATAAAGAACATAATTTAATAGTAGTACTTATC